ATTCGTGCTCTACTGGTTCGATCACGCGCTTGTTCTTCTTCAATACTTTAGAAAAGTTGTCACAGGGACATCACAACGGGGTATGAAGACAGGGCTACAGTCGTTGCTGCGTGTAGTAGACGTCACACATATGAGGCTGGTTTCAAAAGCACTGACAAGTGCAGAAACCCTCGGCGAACTGCGCTTGCGCGATACGCCCGTAATTGATGGGCTGGGCCGGCCGTAGCGGTTTACACGCCCTCTCTCGTTGTATCCACTAGTAGCTCGCGTAGAAAATTCTGACACAGGCTAGCTACGATAGTAGAGAAGTATGCGAGAGCCGCTACACGTCCTCGTCGGGACTACTTGAGCCTCCAAGGCTTACGCAGAGCAAGCACATCTTGTCGAGGTAAGCCTGGGCTATTTGTGCATATTGGCTTGTTCACTTGTTGTTCACGCCACTTAACTTTGAAGCAGAGTTGAGATACGAAAATCGACCATGTTTAAACATCAAAAACAAATGTAGCGCCGAACCCGTTGGCGTAGACTTTTGGCGATCTATGTGCGCCTCAGTGGCAGAAAACGTGAACGGACACACGGACAACACAGACACACCGACCAGAGTACAGTAACCCTCGCTGCGCCTTTGCGCGCCGAGGGTTAATGAGGAAGAAGTGGGGAGGTGTATCTAGGATATCACACATAGGAGGTAGCGGAGTTATACTCCAGGGAAAGTACTCTTTCCTGCTCTCATAGCTGAAAAAGGATCAGTGTAGGGTCAACGACATACAGCCTCCTTGCCACCTGTAGCGTGAGAGCAAATACTGAGCATCACTGCTACCAAGATGGCCCAGGAGCAAACCAACCGCACGACCAAGAAGGTGTTCGTAGTCGAGTAATGACACCGAAGAATCGCTGACTCTGACCAGTATTTCCTTCCCAGCCTAGAGCACACTGATGCTGGTACTGTCCAAACTAATGGCGGTACTATCGCATGCAGACGATCCTGGCTACGTGTATTTATGATGAAGCGGGACCCACCAGTTATTTCAAGGTCGACAGGACCGTGAATCCGAAAATTCCGCGCTGGAATCTTCAGACGGGGAATCCTCGGAGTGACAATGCAGGCAATTGAAGTGCCTCAATGAAAGTTGAGGACCGTTTGAAGGAGGCTATGGCCCAGGCCAAGTACAATAGAGCAAACGGAGAAAGAGTGGTTCTCTGGAAATGTGGCAGAAGCCTACAACTGTTTCTGGCCATTGTCAACGCTGCTTGAGGACTGCAACTTGACCTTGACTAACCGCCTAGAACTCATAGATTAATGATTGTACCTTTACTTGCTAATTTTCTCAATTCAGGGCGATGTCTACATTAATTTAACACAGTAAATCACACTTCCTTGCTATTCCTGCCAACCTATAATTGCCGAGCGTCATTAGCGCGAGGCAACTACTCCGGGTTGTATTCTCGCGATATGCGTACGTACGTACGTGTCATTAGTCACGCTTAGGATGTCATTAACCACCAAAAGGAAGTGTAACTTTCTGGCGTCTGAACCACCCTTGTTTTGTGTCGACAAGATTGCTGCATATTGATATTCATACACACAGAAGTATTTCTATGCTATAGTGCATCTTAGTTTGTTTTTAGAGTTTTAAATGCTAGCACCCTAAATCTTCTTATGAGGTTCAACTTGCGTTCTTGTATGTCTGAATCAGTTTGGCTTTTTCCTGACGAGTCTGGGCCGTGTACCATTCCGTTCCTCCTCCAAGTTTTGCACTTGTAATCCACCAAGGCTTTCTTTGCAGCATTCTCTGCATCACGACCATTTTTCACTTCAATCGTACTATCAGGTACAAATTCCAATTTTCGTGGATTTTCTCTTGTCGACCGTTGGGATGCGAACACGAGGATTTTCCACTTTATAAGTTTTGTTTTCCACTGGGATGATAAGTAACAACAGATGAGTGGTAGTTTCCTCCTGGGGATGGTGCACAGTCTGTCTGCTTCTCCTTCAGACAGTACTGTGTGTACGATTGTAGGTGAGTACCAAGCGGTTTTTGGTGTAGTACACTCCACCATATGAGGTCCTGCCTTTCGTGAGGACAGAGGAAAGAAGTGACAAGGAAGAAACTAAGTTTTACTTTTAGGATGCTTCTTGCAAGTACCGCATTAAGATGGGGTCAAAGGCTTAACTGCATAGTGGCATAAGTTCCCCACTGGCAACGACCATAACAAACTAACTACCGTAACACGGTCTGTTGTGGTTCTTCTTTGTTTCACTCTTTTCTAGCACTTCAAAATGTACAACATAATGGTAACATAATAATGGTAAGGATTCTATACTGGAAACCGACAGCAATAGTGCAGAGTGAATACCTAAATCAAAGTATGAAAGTATGTAACTCAGTCACAGAATGTTGGGGGTATTTGAATTTACCCCAAGTCAATGGCAGTGCAGTACTAATGTTAGCAATCAAAGACTTTTGCTGGCTATAGACACAATATGTATGTTCTTAATATCCTGTTGTGTGTACATGGAATAAAGTCATTCGTATTCATCAACCAGTTTGGCTTTTTCCTGACCTGTCTGGGCCGTGTACCATTCCGTTCCTCCTCCAAGTTTGCACTTGTAACCCTTCAAGGCTTCCTTTGCAGCATTCTCTGCAGCAGTACCATCTTCCACTTCAATCTTACAATCAGGTACAAATTCCAATTTTCGTGGATTTCCTGTTTGCAAATTTGTGATGCGAACACCAGGATTTCCAGACCTCCCAACTTTATAGTTCTGTTTTCCACTGGGATCATCATCATTTTTTTCAACGAGTAGATACACATGACAGTCTGACTCGTCATCCAACTCCAGATCTTGAAGAGTTTCAATAACTTTGTCAACATCTGTACCTGCCATTCTCTCAAGTGACTGTACCACAAGTGACTATTCGTTGCCTACACGGCTAATTTACACAACACCCCCTTTGGGGAGTATCTGGATAATGCAGTAATAGTCACGTGTTTACGGTGTCAGCTATTTTAATACAAAGGATTTGAGTTATATGGTAGTCGTGCTAACAAAAACTAGTTCCAAGTTTCAAACACGTGACTAGGTAGGGATTGTAAATTCACAGAGTGAAAGGTGTTAGGGAGGGATTGCATGTTTTGCACAGCTTCTGACCCTGTCATTTACATCAGGTAAGTCATTTTTGCGATGAATGTTGTTCCTGAAAAAATAATAGGGAATGTCGAGTATGTAAAGAAGGCCAGAATGTGACGGTCTAATTCCCACAGCAACACACGTACGTAGACCTCCCAAATTGTGGTAAATGTATTAGTTATACGCCAAGTTTGCGCAATTATTTTAAAGGCGCCGTCTACTGATGAAGGGAACAATTAGTAGGAGTTGGCAAGTATGTAAAAAAATATCCACAGCAGTGCACACACTGCACATGCCTTCAGAAATGTGACTCTAGACCTCCCACAATTGAGGTACTTTATAAGTAGCTCAGTGGGGCAATAGTGTATTTCTACAAAGAGTCCTGCAAGCTGTTGTGTGTATACGTAGCTAACCCTTTTTGGAGAGAATGGCAGCCGGTGGTGGATTGGCTAATCAGTTCAATGCAATGTCAATAGGTAATCCTGGTTTTGTGTATCTGATTGTTGAAGGGAATAATCCAAATGGACCATTCAACTATAAAGTTGGCCAGTCTGAAAAGCCTGATGTTCGTGTGGGTAAATTGCAAACAGGGAATCCACGAAAACAAAGTGAATAACATGAGTGCTGCGGAAAAGAGTGCAAAAGATGCTTTGAAGGAATACAAGTGTACACTTGGAGGAGGAACAGAATGGTACACAGCTGGACCGTTGCAATACGATATCTTTATCAAGACATTCGAGGAAGCAGTTGCATGCAAATAAAGCAGTAAAAGTAGAGTAGTTAGTTTTAGTGATTTGAAATACTTACTCCCTTGTACGTGTATGTATGTAGTTGTAGAGAGTTTTGTACACACATGAAATGGTCAATATTTATCTAGTGCTTCATCTGAGTATCAGAATAAAAAATTTACAGTGGTACGTTACTGTAGTCACTTATATGAAATTGCAGGTCAATCTCCCCCCCCCCACAGATAACTCAATTATTGTACTTAAATGATGTTCTTGTGGAATAGGTAGTGTTCGATTCTTGTAATATAGCTAGCTGATGTCATGGAATAGTGAGGTCTCAGGTTACCTTGCCTCTGTTCTATGCAAGGAGTAGACATGTCATACACTTTTAATGGGTTGTGTAAGCGGTCTACAAGAGTCTTAGCCCCATGAATTCTGAAGGTCCTGAATGTTGGTATAGCCGGGGAAAGTCCCTCTGCTCTTGCCACTATAAAAAGAGGTGTACTAAGAGAACTGCAGCACTCTTCGCCCAGTGCTTCGGATAACATTATCTGCAACCATGGAAGAAACCATTACCCCAAGTTTGGAAGAAATGTCTCTAAGTGGTGATGAACGGCCCAAACCAGAGCCTACTACTCCAAGTCCTTCTTCACCACATCCTGAATTACGTCCCGATCCTGGTCCTCAACCTCTCTATCTTCATATTAAAAAAGAGTCTGACGGGAAAGTTAGATATAAAGTTGGAAGCGATGAAATTTTTCAATATGAGATAACTGCATCTGCATTTAAAGGAAAAAATGCTACAGAAGTAGTAGAAGCGTTAAAAAAATATCATGAAGGAAATGAAGGTTGTTGGTTAACAGCTAAAGAAGGTACAAAATCGAAAGACCTGGCAGGGGATGTGTCAGGTGGTTATGTTTATCTGATAGAAGAGGAAGGAAAGGTTTACTATAAAGTTGGCCTGACCGAACAGCATCTGGAGCAGGTTCCACCACCTTATCAGTCAGGGAATCCACGTGCATTAAAGTTTGAAAGAAGCGAAAAAGTGATAAATATGGAACAGGCCAAAAAAGAAGTGAAAATGGCCTTGAGGAATTATAGAAGTTGCGACGTGAAAGGAAACGATTGGTTCGTAGTTACTGATCAACAGGGAGAGGAACTATTAAAAACGTTTGATGAGGCAATTGCTCCATGGAAGGTAACCCAAGAGCAAGCCGACTGAACTTTCTACAAACTTGTAGCTTTAGGTAGCATAGAGCTTATAATTATTTTGATGTTCATATTTTAATTGATAGTCCAACAGGCATTAAATCTATGTGTGCATGCATAGCGAAGGTTTACCACAAAGGTTGCCAAAATTCTAATAAACAAACGGCTTTAGCAAAACCACAGGGAAGATTTGATTTTCGTGAAAGACGTTCAAAAGTTCTGCGAGTAAACTTACCTTGCAGGCCAATTGCTTGGCTTACCTTGAGCACCATGAAGTTACACGAAGGGCAAGTCTGAGCGAAGTCTGCTTCATGCAATGCAAGAGAGGTTTTGCGGGATATCCCGTGGAACGGAATGGTTTACTGGAGATGTTGCTGAAGCCCAGAGGCTCTTCACGCGCATTGCGAATAGTTATCGAACTTAACCATTTTTACTACCTCGAGGACTCTTAGAGACATTGTTAATACGTAGTACCATTAATTTAACATATACTATATAGAATATAATTATTATGATGATATTTTGGCAAACTGTTTCACTCTGGAGATCTTGGTAGACATTATAGAAACCTCCAAACTGGAAATCCACATCTCCTCGGGCTTCTCATCTCAGAAAAGTGGCTACAGTAGGTCAGAAACATGGCTACAGAAACATGGCTACAGTAGTCAGAAACATGGCTATAGCAGGTCAGAAACATTGCTACAGTAGTCAGAAACATGGCTACAGAAACATGGCTACAGTAGGTGAGTACCAAGCAGTTTTTGGTGTAGTATACTACACACATATGAGGCTACCTTTCATGAGGAAAGAGGAAAAGAAGTGAGAAGGAAGAAACCAAGTTTGACTCTTAGGATGCTTCTTGCAAGTATGCATATACTGCAAGATGGGGTCAAACGCTTAACTTGTGGCATAAGTTGCCGACTAGCAAGGACCATAGCAAACTAACGACAGTAACATGGTCTGTTACAGTTCTTGTTGGTTTCACCCATTTCGACCTTTTCTACAGCTTCAAAGAATGTACAACCCAATGGGAAGGATACTATACTGGAAACCCTGCACTATACTACAAGGAAACTGACCCCAACAGTGCAGAGTAGCGGAATTACTTACTCCAGGGAAAGTACTCTTCCTTCTCTCGATAGCTGTATAAAGGATCAGTGTAAGGGGCAACGACATACAACCTCCATTTCACCTATAGCTGAGAGCAAATACTGAGCATCACTGCAAACCAAGATGGCCAAGGAGTTCGTAGGAATGACACCGGAAGAAATCGCTGCTCTGCCAGTATTTCCCGAGCCTGAGGAAACTGGTGGTGGTACTGTCACAACTGATGGCGGTACTATCGTTGCAGACGGGCGTGGCTACGTATATTTTATAACGGAAAGCGGACACACCAGTTATTTCAAGGTCGGCAAGACCGGGGATCCGAACACTCGCTGTATGAATCTTCAGACGGGGAATCCTCGGAAGTTGAAAATGGAGGCACGTAAAGTGGCTAACATGGACACCGTTGAGAAGAGTGTGCTGCAGGCTATGGCGGCCAGGTACAGTAAAACAACCGGAGGAAGAGAGTGGTTCTCTGGAGATGTGGCAGGAGCCTATAATCTGTTTCTGACAATTGTCAACGCTGCTTGAGGACTGCAACTTTACCCTGAACTACTGCCTAGATTCTGATGTACTTTTAAAATTTTACACAAGATTTATCTTAATGAATTTCACAAATCAGGGGCAATGCATGCATTAATATTAACACAGTAAATCACACTGCATGAAGAGAATAGCTAAATCAATCTATGAAAGTATGTAACTCGGTCACAGAATGTTGGGGGTATTTGAATTTACCCCAAGTCAATGGCAGTGCAATACTAATGTTAGCAATCAAGGAATTTTGCTGCCTAAAGACGCAATATGTATGTTCCTAAAATGCTGTTGTGTGTACATGGAATAATGCCATTCGCATTCATCTGAGCTTGGAAGTAGCTGCCTGTGGTTTAAAAATCACTGGAGTCACAAATGAGAAATGCACCAAAGATGTACCTACTACATCCCTACCTGCTTTACCACGTACTGCTTCTTGTGCTGTGCAAAATATCACATGCCATCCCTACCAAATAGCTTTTGTCTTACCCTTGTGAATATACAATACAGAGATATTTGATACTAGTTTTGTTAGCACGACTACCATATAACTCAAATCCGTTGTATTAAAATAACTGACACCGTAAACACGTGACTATTACTGCATTATTCCCTTTGGAATATCGAGATAATGCAGAACGATCCCTTTTGGATAATGCAGTAATAGTCATAATGTAGTAATAGTGATGCTACCTCTTACACACAGCCATAAGTAGATGGTGTAGTGGCTAAAGCTCCTTCAAGTGCAGCACGTATTAGGTGCTACCTGGGTTCGACCCCAGCAACTACTACTTTTTCTTTTTTCTACCTCAGTGAAGTGTGGGTATAAAGGCAAAATTTCAACTGCTGCTCTCGGGTCACTCATGTGGCGCAATCAGTAGAAGTGGGGACTACCAGTATAAAGGTTCCGGTGGTCGAGAGATCGATCCCGGGCTGGAAGCTGGTAGGTGGTCCAGAGCACTGGCTGGGAACAGCTCTGGTTCCTCCCCTTACCCACTCTCTGTTTGACAATACTGAGTGCCCCCGCTTCACCGGGCATGTTTGGCCACTTGTCCTGTGGAGTGGTTTTTTGTTTTTTTTTCGAAGTGCAAGTCCCTTTTTTATTCATTCTCAAAGTTGCACCAGTGCATTTAAAAATTTTTTTTAAATGTCAAAGCCGGATGATGTGTACAATAGAACCAGGTTGATTATGTAGGGGTGTAATTTTAATCACACTTCCTTGCTATTCCTGCCAACCTATAATATATAAGTGTAGTCTGGTATCTGATCCACGTGACAACACCCTTGTTTTGTGTCGACAAAGATTGCTGCACTCTAACATGATATTCATACACACAGAAGTATTTCAATGCTATAGTACATACATCTTTCTTAGTTTGTTTTAGTTGTCTTTAGAGTTTTAAATGCTACCCTAAATCTTCTTATGAGGTTCAACTGCGTCTTTGTATGTCTCAATCAAGTCGTTTTCCTGACGAGTCTGGGCCGTGAACCATTCCGTTCCTCCTCCAAGTACGGACCTGTAATCCTTCCGTAAGGCTTTCATTGCAGCATTCTCTGCATCACGACCATTTTTCACTTCAATCTTACAATCAGGTACAAATTCCAATTTTCATGGATTTCCCGTTTGCAACGTTGGGATGCGAACACCAGGATTTCCAGACCTCCCAACTTTATAGTTCTCTTTTCCACTGGGATAATCACTTTCTTCAACGACTAGATACACATAACAAACATCTGTACCTGCCATTTTCTCTCAAGTGACCGTACGGCAAGTGACTATTCGTTGCCTACACGGCTAATTTACACAACTACCCCTTTTGGGAATATATGGATAATGCAGTAATAGTCACGTGTTTACAGTGTCAGCTATTTTAATACAAAGGATTTGAGTTATATGGTAGTCGTGCTAACAAAACTAGTTCCAAGTTTCAAACACGTGACTAGGTAGGGATTGTAAATTAACAGAGTGAAAGGGTTAGGGAGGGATTGCATGTTTTGCACAGCTTCTGACCCTGTCATTTACATCAGGTAAATCATTTTTGCGATGAATGTTGTTCCGGAGACAGTAATAGGGAATGTCAAGTATGTAAAGAAGGCCAGAAGGTGACGGGCCTAAATTCCACAGCAACACACGTACGTAGACCTCCCAAATTGTGGTTAATGTACGCCAAGGTTGCGCAATTATGCAAGGCGCCGTCTACTGATGAAGGGAACAATTAGTAGGAGTGGCAAGTATGTAAAGAATTTCCACAGCAGTGCACATGCCTTGAGAAACTGTGACTCTAGACCTCCCATAATTGAGGTACTTTGTAAGTAGCTCAGTGGGGCAATTGTGTGTTCCTACAAAGAGTCCTGCAAGCTGTTGTACGTATAGCTAACCCTTTTTGGAGAGAATGGCAGCCGGTGATGGATTGAGCAAGCGTTTCAGTGCAATGTCACTAAATGGTTATGTGTATCTGGTTGTTGAAGAAAATGATCCAAAGGGACCACTCAACTATAAAGTTGGCCTGTCTGAAAATCCTCATGTTCGTGTGGGTAAATTGCAAACAGGGAATCCACGAAAACTGAGACTTTTTCTGGAGTGTAAAGTGGATAACATGAGTGCTGCGGAAAGGAGTGCAAAACAGGCTTTGGTGCACTACAAGTGTAGACTTGGAGGAGGAACTGAATGGTACACAGCTGGACCGGAGGAAGAGGAAGACCTTATCAAGACATTCGAGAAAGCAGTTCATAGATACAAACCAGTTAAAAAACAACAAAAGTAGAGTTGTTAATTTGAAATACTTACTCCCTTGTACGTACGTACTCAGAATAACTATATACAGTAGTACTTTACTGTATATATGATATTATAAGCAGCAATGTGTGTCACTGACTGACTGCGTTGGTGGGTAAATAATCACATAGAACC